ACAGTTATTTTTATAAATTGAAGGTTGTGTTGTGTTCACACCCAGTGGGGGTTCAGAGCGTCAGTGAGTTTCTAGAGATCTGACACATACAGCTGAGCTGTCCACTCTCCTATTGATTTCCTTATCAAGGAACAGACACACAGAAGATGCTGGGAATGTGCTTTGGGCGACTGAAAGCTCTATGGACAAACACACATATACAGTATGCAGACACACACATACACACTCAGAGACCCTTACACATTGCAGTGGCACTGCTAGGTCTAATTCTTGGACTACAATCAGCTTTATGACCACCGAGGGAGACTTAGAAAAATGTGGCCATATTCCTGGGGAACTCGCACACATAACCATTACACACACTCTGCATGGTGTCCACAGGGCACTGGCTGTCAGTGGCTCTCCTGGATCTCTGCTACGCCCCACTGAGTCTTATCTATGACAGACAGAACAGGACACACATACACACTGATGCCCATGCCCATGCACAATACACCACATTCACAACTCAAATACAGCCTAAATTCATACTCCCTGAGACATGTCAGCATGTAGGCTTGCTCACTCTTTAACACACACACACACACCCAAACACAAGCACAGCCGGGGGTATGGTTGAGACCTTGTTGCCCTGGGGCTTTGACTGCATCTGTTCTACAAGAGCAATACAAATGAGAAACGCACAGGAGCATTGAAAAACATCTGTGTGCGTGTGTGTGTGGGTGTAGATGTGTGTATGTGTTTTGCTAAACTTTCTATAGCCGTGAGTGTCTGTTTGGGAAACTTTGTGCCTGGCTTGTGTGGAAGCGTTGCATGCTTTCAGTCATTTTGTTGACATGCTTTTTTAACTGCAACTGGATTTTTTCTTAGTGTATTGGAGACAGTGCATTCATTTTACATTTACAGTTTCCAGTTATTCTTCCAATCCCATCTAGTCCCCTTTGTCTTCTAGAGGAGTAAATGTTAGTGACTTTATCACCATTTCAACTTACATATACTTATTTTTAGTGTTAATATGAGCAAGCACCATTATAACCACATATACATGACACAAAAGAACAACCACACTAGGTTATCTTTAATGCAAAGATGTAATGCTTTTAAAGAGGCGAGGAGGTGGAGGAGGAGGAGGTGCTGTTGACAACTAACGGCTGTCACTGCATGTTTTCCTTGCCGTATATTAACTTCAAGAGCGGTGTGAAGTCAGGCAGAGGCATGAATAAGAAAGAAGTAAGGTGAAACAATAATATGGACACTGAATGATGGAAAGATGACAGAAGAGGTGTAAAGCTGTGCATTATACTTAAAAAGCCTGACTTCCGTCTGCTTTTGCTCCACGTTCTTCAGATGAATATTAAAATCTGAAGACCAGTGGGTAAAATGTCTTTCTTTGGCTCTGGCAGTATTATAGAACCCAAATCTTCCCCAGTATTGTTCGATTTTTTTGCAAACAAAACACCGCAAAAAGAGTTACTTGAAAGTTGCTACACATGCCAATTTTTGCTCAGTTCAGTCATTTTATCCTGGAATAGGTTTAGCTGTAATGAGTTTAACTGTACTGAGTAATAAAGAAATTTACCTCCACCAGGCAGTAGCTCGGCTGATTCAGAACATTTCATTTCAGCTGTCTTTTCTAATTTAGTCAACAAGGAAGAAATCATCTGCTCAGCTGGTCAGCATTATTGTGTCACAAAATGAATATTCATGCATGAGCATGTATGGGAGACAGACATACAGTCACACAGGGTGCTGTCAGATTAGAAGAGTCTCTCCAGATTCCTGTTGTCACACCTGGCTGAACAACACACTAATTAACCCTGATTTCACTTAGAAAGCCTGGAAGAAGACACAAACACACACATACCTGCACAAATTAATTTGAAAACCTTACGATACCTTACATGTGAAAACACAAATGAAAAGGCATGATGATACACACGCCCAGAGAGAAATTAAGCCACACAGGATGTTTCTACAGCACATGAATGAATAGATTAGAAAACTCACAAGTACACTAACGTGTGAATCAAGGACAATGCCACATTTACACACATTTAGCAGCACACACTGTGCACACAGGGCTTCGGGGAGGTGTGTTCATGCATGTGCGTGTGTTTAATTTTTCCGTTCTCGCTCGTTCACTGTGTTGGCATGGGCTATTCCCCTGGCACAATGCATGGCTGACAGCACCTGAGCTACAAACACAAACACATACACACAGGAGTAAGACACAGAAACACACGCATGCACACAGACACATTCAGTAAGGTAAGCAATACACACGCACGCATACGCACACATTTGGATGTTCTCAGGAGTACAGTCTGTGCGTTCTGCTAACAGATGGTAATGACAATTTCAGTCCCTGGACTATCATCTAATCAAAACAGCACACTCACACACACACACAAGCTACACATTCCAGTCTCCCTTCAGATTAAAACATCCTTCACACCAAATAAGGTTAACAGCATAATTCAAACCAAATATGCATTGAGAACATAATTTAGGCCGGAGCGCCTCTGCACTGAAACGGATTTCAGTGATGCAATTCAAATTCCATTAAAAACAAACACAGTTCAATCCCCCTTGCGCCGCACGATTATATATTTAATACATATAAAAATATATATATATTTCACACTAAATATTTTAGGGCAGAGAGGTGTGTTTGTGGGAAATGCATCCTAGACATCTACTTTAAGCTTCACTGGGAGCACTCTATTCTTAAATAAACACAAGATATATACTATTTATATATGATAAATAGTGGAACCCATGGACTGAAGGGTATGTTACACTATAACTGCAGAAAACCATTCCTTTGTGTTTGGACCCCTTTTGCCTGGTTATAAACTTTGGTCAGGATGCAACACAAGATGCTGTCAAAAGGCAGCCCCGGAGAATGTCAAGCGATCAAGCATAAACTCAGCTCTACAGTGACTGAACACATAGGGCTTCAGTGTCATGGTCAAGGACACTTAAAAAGAGAATAAAAGTTGTGAGCTTGGGGTCTTATACTTTATTTCTTAAAGGATAAATGCCAGGAAAAAATACCTGTTACTTTTGTTGTGTGCCATGCTGCAAGAAAGCTAGCTTAAGAGAATCGTAGAGTGCTAATAGGCTAACATATTAGCATACATTGCTTGGTGTTCGCATCTTTTTCCGTGTTGCTTCACATATAATTACGTATCAGTGCTAAAATACAAGTATTCACTATGTTGAGCAATAACTAACTGAAGCCTTTTATAGACTTCATGAGAGACAGAAAGCCCTTTAGCAGGCGCTACGTCGATCAGGTCAACATTGAAAAAAATGAATGATTATTTCCTATTTATTCAGAACTTCATGAAGTCCACAAGTTGGAGGTGGAGACAAAGATCGTTATAAAAAAGAATTAAAAACACAGTGCAACAGAAGGAGATGGGGAGAGGTAAAAGAATGTAATTATGTCTGACAACAACAGATAGCTGCAATGCTATAATTCTATCAAAGTCCTTACAACAATATTATCCAGCCTACTCAGTACATTAATATCCTTCTCAGCAGGACAGGACCATATTTCCTGTTGTTCACAAGAATCATGGGAGAGGGAATAACTTGCTAAATGGCAGATTTTCCTTCATATTTTTACCCTGTCACAGAGTTGATAGATTGCATTAGAGTATTTGAATGTCCTCAGTGAGAGGATTTGTCGAACAGCACAGAACAGTACACTACGGGGGCAGAGGAAACAGGAGGTGAGAAGAGATGAAAGCAAAACACTGAAGAAGAAAAGAAGAAGCAGGCAGGAGACAGAAAAAAGAATCAGTTTTGTAAGCAAATCATTGCTACTTTCTTTAGCATTAGTCAGATTAATGATTACCTTCTATTTTTGCTTTATAAGCATAGTTTCAGCTTATCTGAGACAATTAGGTTTTTTTATGTTTGGCAGCATGATGTATTCTCTGCATGTTCTTGCATTTCTTTTCTATTGTTGATAAGCTAGTGTTTAAATTGTCTCTATTTTACATTGCATGTTTAGCTACCCCATTACATCACACCTGTGTGCATATCACACATTTCTTATAGGTTTGAAATATTTCGATATCTCTGTCTTGATGCCTGCTTAATCATCCAGGTAAGGAAATCCCCAAAAGTTGATTCTGTTTATCTGAACATAGCGTTTTCAGTGGGAGAAACGTTTTGTCATCAAACAACCTCTGCTTTTAAGTGGATGGCACAACACAGAAGAGCTAACTCGTCAGGCCACGACTCCGCAGTCTATTTACACCTACAGGCCAGTGGACACATCACCCAGTGGATGTACACATCCCACTGAAAACGCTACGTTCAGGTGAACAGAATCAACTTTTTGGGATGTGGATATCTTGAGTAGTTCTGTGAGTTGTATATGATAACAGATGACCCAAAAGGTTTTCTATCCAACTTTTATCTGCAGTCCTGCTGAAGTACTGCTGTACTCTTCCTTTGACCTAATCAAGAAGAAACTATTATAAACTATTACAAAAGCATCTTTTAATTAGGTGACTATGAACATTCAGAGGATAAAAAAAAATCCTTTTTTTCATATATATTTAAAATAACTAAACAAAATAGCAGTATGAGTTTTGAAGATTGTGGGAAAGGGAGGGAATAAGAATCAACATACTGGGAAGAAAATGAACTAAAAGATGGACAAAGACGGGCAGAAACTGAGTGAATGAGGGCTCATTGTGAGTTCTAGGCACTATTCTCAAATCTATTCAGTATTCTATCCTCAGCATTCTCACATCCCTAATGAGCAACAGCCAAATGCACACGCAACTACACAACCACAACCCAGGCTTGTTTCTCACTTTCTAAAGAAACTGTCCCACTTTACTGCATCCTTTCTGATCTGATTTGTTGAACAATGCTCTACTTATATCCATCAAAATTCCTTTCTGATGCTCTGGTTTTAAATGAAAGATAAATCATCTTGTTTTTGTAGTTTAAAGAAGTTAAACAGATGAACGTACCTTTAACAATGAGGTCAGCGTAGTTGGACACCCCAGATCCACCGTCTGATCGGATGACACACCGGTAGCGGCTTGTGCTGCGCTGAGATGTGTCGCCAACGCTAACGGTCGCAGAAAAACGTCTGTGGTTCACCACCCTGGTCACCATCAGGGCTGTGTCTTTACCATTCCATTGCTGCATGGTGGAAAAGACCAGAGAGTTTTCAACAAAGACTCCAAGTGTTTGCTGTCATTTTTTTTGCTTTGCGTATGATTGTGGTATCATACTCTCAGATATAGACCCCTTGGGTGAGGAGGGTCACTGATCTCCTTTGGAGCATTCTCAGCAGTACATACTCATTTAGTGAAAACATGTAAGCTTGCCAATGCACATGGATGTAAAGCAGAATGAGTACATAGGCATGGCTGCACACAGCATATACACTCAGGCGCATAAACAAATCACACGTGCAAGGATGGAATCACTGGTGCAAAGCAGAACAAGGAGTTTTAATCAATTCTGAAATAGAGCTGGTAATACTTGGGATGTTCGCCAAACAATACTATAAAATAAAATTAAGAATAATATATGAATAATAACTTTATCTGTTATGTTGGCCTTTCAATGGTTTAAATTTTCTTTTAGTTTCTTTTAGTTTCTTGAAAAATATATACCCGTTTATCCTATATGTCCATTAAAATTAAAGTCTAGGAAGAAGTTCCAGGTGTAAACAGCAGTACGTACTGTAGGTACTGATGTCTATAAATGTGCAGTGTTGTTGACATTAGTAATACTGTTAGTACGCTTTTTTTATATATTCATATTTGTGTCCCCAAGTTGGGTAAATTGGGTAAATATGGTTTGGTTTGTGGTATTCTGTCCCTCCTTTTAACAAACATATATGTATATATATCCATTTATGCACAGTTTTACTAACGTGAACATACTCACCTGCAGCCAGAGTTTATCATGCTGAGACCACTTCCCTCCAGCAGTACACTGAAAAGTAGCATTCTGACCCACATTTACCTCCACATTCTGCAGGCGTAGAAAGTGTGGGGCTTTACCTGCAACACAGACAGCAATGTGCTGATGATATAGATGTGTAAAAGTCAGGATAAATATAAATCCATTCTTCTTGGTCTTTTTTTTATACACGTTGAATTCAATGTTGTTGAAGTCATCAAATGCATATATAGTCTGCAAAAACAAATAAATTATTTCAATGATAAACAATATCCCAATTACCCAAAATAAACATGCTAATAAAAAATAAATTGCATGCTGCTCAAAGTGTTACTGTTACAGTTTTAAGAGTTCACACTAGATTCATGCTAGCAACAAGAAACAGCACTTTCAGGGAAACCATGAACGATACTAATTCAGTTCTAGGAGAGCTTAACATTGTCTGGACTACGGCAGAGAAATTCTGTGGCCATGAGACAGATGCAAAGGTCTGTCAGTGAGACAGACAGCTGGGTGACTTTGGTCTGCCATTGAGACCAGCCTGCGACTGGTTAATTTCATTTTGCCTGTCTGCAGACATAGATAAGACTAACAGAGTATGCATCGATCACTCAACAATGATAATTTGTCCTGACATTAATGGTCAGCTTGTTGCAAATGACAAGGGCAAAAACTTAGATTTGCTTTTTTTGAAAATCTTTCATTATTTTTTATAGTCATCTTTTTCCTCAGTCTTTTTAAAATTAAATTGGATTTTAGTTTTTCCTTACACTGTAAATATGTTTGCTCTCTTTTTGAATAATACGATTAGTGGCTTGCAAAGGTGAACTGATTGTTTTGCGTCGGCTGTTCAAAGGAAAGATACAAGGCAGATAGAAAGAAGGGCTGAGGAGAGGATCAGCAAGAGAACCACGGTGGACAGACCGAACATAGATAAAATACAAAGATAATACTAGTGGAGTGATTAAAAATAAAATACTTTTCATTTTCATTTATAATCCTTTCAAAATGAATGCAATATCATTTATCAATTAATTTAGCTATACTGCTCTAATATGATGACTAAGTATGATTTGATTCCTATCTATAAAATAGACGTAAAACTGAGTGTAAAACTTTGATTCCTGAAACAACATAAACAGTTAATAGGAGCAGAAGGAGAATGTCAGGAGTTGCAGAATACTGAGAAGGCAGGGCGCAGTAAGTAGACCTCAGACTGTGGCAATAAGCAGTCCAGAGTTTTGTGAAGCAAAGTGTTTTTGTCACATTTGAGTGATGAAGACCCTGGGTCTGGACCTTCTTCCTTGCTCTCTACAATCTGTCTGCGACCCTCACAATCTGTCCTTTATGCTGTGTTTTTGTGTGTGTAAGTGTGCGACATCTATAAAACAGATGATGCTCAGCAGGGCTACAGTTGTGCAGGGTCAACCATCACAACACATTCACAATCTCTCCCACTTACGGCATGGGTGAGCCAGAACTCGTATGTCATCAATGGCGATGAAGCCTGGGTGGCCTTGGACTGAAACGGCTTCAAATATTACCTTAGACCAGACAGAAGAAAGGAAGAAAGAATGAAAGAAATGCAAGCATTATAATGAAATTCAAAAATAAGAACTTTCTTTCACAAACTGGAACATCTTGACATCCCTATGAAGCTCATATGGGAACCCCAGGGGAGTTTTCCACTAAAAGTCAGCAACTATTCCTCTTTTCACTTCATCCCTTCTGTCTCCATCCTTATGCCAAGCACATATGCTGCCTCTCCTCTGCCTTCTTCCTCTCTTCTTCATTTAAACCTCCTCTACTTTTCCTCCTGTTTTCTTCCACGCTTTATCTATGTTGTACTTTTCAGACTTTTCCACCATCTCTCCCCATATTTTCTCTATATTTTCGCATTTTCCTCTATTTTTCCTTCCTATTTTTAATTGCTCTTTTGTGTCTTACTCATTTTACTCTCCCAACAGGACAGTCCCTTATATTTTCCAACAGAGTTTATGCAAACTCTCAGGATGAGAACAGGGTGTCAGCAGGGCTGTCAAGGGGCCATGCACTCCTGACCCACACATATATAGACTCATACACACTACGCACGCTACACACACACACACACACACCTCTGTGCTGTACTTGTCAGGATTCTCAGCAGTATCAGCTGCGACTCACTCTGAATACTTAAGACTTCTGGGAAGTCTTTACTCTCCTCTGTTACTTCAAAAATAAATCCCTTTTGGCATACATATCAAGTTTCTAAAAGTCACAGTCACTGCTAAAGCTTTGCTGTATTAGCAACAGTTTGACAATGTTGTTTACAGTGTTGGTAAACTGAATTTAATTTGAAATTATAAGCATTTACAACATTATTTTGATTTGTGTAATAGCATGTCACTGTGTGAAATTGGGATTTCTATTCCCAACTTTGATTGATTGCACATATTTGTTTCGCTATATAAACAAAGGCTGGTGCTGATTTGACCCTGATAAGCATACATGTTGTTCACTATTTACAGTTTTGTGTCTCTAATATTTTTCTAGTGAGATTTTGTCAGAATTTTTTTTAAATTTTTTGATGCATTCCCACTGGGGAATATCTGAATATTCAAATATCTAGCACTCTATGTTGATATGATATTCCAATAACAAACAAATTATTGATCTAGAACAGTTAAACAATTCAAAAGAGGAACTAAATTGTCTTTAAAACTTGTTTCTGCCCTCAGTGGCCTCCAGTACTCTGTACTGTACTGAGTGCTAGTTCTCCCCCAGGTGGTGACTCTTTATTAGGGAAGGAAACATGCACAGAGACACACTGACATTTAATTCACTTTGATTACCATTGTGCCTTGTATCTGTGTGAGACACAGGGGTGCCTGCATTTACTGAGCACAGCTCAGTCATTAGGTACAACAGAGTTGCTGTTGTGGAGCCTCATAAAATAACACAGCAGGGTATGTCTCTGTACCTTAAACCGACCAATACACACACACACACACACGTACACAACAGAGAAAGTCATTAAAGAATGACTGTCAAGAAATGTACCTTTTGTGCTCAACCTACAGTTAGATCCACGTGTTTTTGGATGATGACATATTTGTTGTTATTTATGTGCATCTAAGCAGTACAGTACCTAAACAATGTCTGTGAGAGTATGTCCAGAGGACTTGTGTGCATTTGTAGTACCTGATAGGAGTTGGGCCAGAATGTAGAAATAGCCAATTCAGCTTTCACCCAACCTTCAGTGACAGTATCAGAGGCATTCCACACTGGGTTACCCTGAGCACCTCCATTCACCTGCAGGCAGGGAGAGAAAAAGAGGCACAGTTTAATTAAAGCAGAGTTAGTGGATAAAACGAAGAAAAGGGTAAAACTAACAAACTGCAGTAAGAAAACTACTGAATCCAACAGTAACATGCTGTTTCCCATTATAACCTGACATATTACATTTTACTGTGAATAGTTTTGCATTTTAAGCCGTGTCTGAATCAATTTCACAAACGTCTGCAGTCATAGAACTATAGAAGTTATAGACGTCATAGTATGGAGACAGCTGAATATGTAGAGCTGTATAAAGGAAAACACATAATTTCCAGGATTACTAACTTTATCAGCTGTATCTACCATTATTGACAATGATGTTCCATTTTTATTTCACATTTAGACACATTACTCATAAAGTCGTTTCACTCATGAACTGTTTTCAAAGCCAAATCCTCAAATTTTTTTGATGGGTTTTTCACCATGCTTCTGTATAATAAAGCTGTAGCATTTCACCTTCCTTACTCGTTTCCATACCTTCATCAGTGTCTTCATGCCATTTCTTTTCTTTGTATGCCTTCCACACAGCTCTATATTTCTCCAGTTTCCCTCTTTACTCTGTCTTTTCATATCTCCATTCACCATCCATAGCTTCTTCTTAATTCTACTCAGGTGCCCATGAGTGCATTCGTACTTTAACATAAAAAATTCATTCTTGCAAGTCCATACCTACTACTGTTCTATCCCATGGCAGCTACTCCTAATGTTTACTGTTAGCTTACTTTAATGGTTGGTATTCGTAATCAGCTTTTGAGTCCATTAATAGAAGCAAGCTGAAAATAATACCTTCTTTCTAAAAGTCCACAAACTACATAAAAATCAAGAGCTCTGCTATCTAGCAGCCTATACTACAGCTAACTTGATCCCTGCTAAAAGGGAATAGATGATGACTTTCTGTTTACCTACCTATCACTTATTCTCTTTCTCCCTTTCTCTCTCTTACTTTCTCTCTCTCAGACACACAGACAGACAGACAGACAGACACAGCCACACACACACACACACACACACACACACACACACACACACACACACACACACACACAGATAGATATTTAGTGCCGGAGGGCTAACTTCATCCCT